CAGTTAACAATGGGCAGCGGAAAACGGACGAGAAAATCATAAGCCACGGAATGTTAGTAAAGCTCACGGCCTAGCAGAGATTAGACACATTTACTGAACTTGGGAGTAGGCAAACTCTGATAGAACTAATACGCTTTTAATGAATGAACTTCACTGATATTCCAAATGGTTCCTAAATTCTCGCAATTTTAAACACAACTTTGATATGCTCATAAACATTTATTAGATGCAATTTAAAAATGATGCCCAAAACATTTATCTGGTAGTTTATTGTAACCCGTATTAAGTGTAAGGGCCTTTAGCACTTTCAGGAAGACCTCGAACTGTATGGCGGGTAATGCAGGTTAATAAAGGTTTCACGCGCACAATAACTTCTGGAAGGAATAATTACAATGGTTTATATGTTGCGCGTATTTCTTTTAGTTTGGATGTTTAATATGTTCTTTGTTTTGTTCACAGTTCTTTGAAAAGCGATTGAAATCCAAAAAAGACACTCGTTTGCAACCTGATCTAGCTTTTGACCGGAGACTTGATTCAATTTCAGAAGAATTGCTGGCTCGTAATATTCTCTGGCGAAATTGTGGTGCACACAGGCCGCACCAGTATTCAACTAGATTGGTATTGCAAATATTCTGTTCATTTTCCCAATCGAACTCAATAATCACGGGGATACTGGATGCTCCTAGACAACCCATGACCGCCATCGCCACGTTCAAGGCTCATAATAAAGGCGCAGTCTAAGTTTCCGTTATCCTCATGTCCTACTTAAACCCGGATTTTACGCGGTTTGTGAATATTCCTCACCAAAATTAGGAGTGGTGTGTTCCATTTGCACAGCATGGGGCGATGCTTCGTCCCGAACCATTTATGCAGTGTCTTTCGGTATCAACTTCAACAAAATAATATCATACTCAAAAGTTTCAGTAAAATAGTTACCTTCCGTTAAGACCATACTGGTCTGCAAGTGAATTTGTCTGGCCAATTGCGTGCAGTTTGGTTCCAGCAGGTAAACTTAAACTGCACCCATCTGTTGAGCCATAGGTAGGGTGGAACCACTCGCAAGCTCCTGCATAGACTAAGGCAACATTGAGTGGCGTGCTCTTTCTAACGGAGGCTTTCGAACTGACCAGCTCAAAAGTAGACGATTACGTAGAAAGGGTAGGTTGCAAATTTATCATCGGTCGTGGCGCGCTCTAGATAAGGCATAACCAGTATTATTTAGATTTGCTACTTACATTTTTATTTGTTTATTTTATTTTTAACTAGGCTTCGTTTTGGAGACCTATTTGGCAGGAACAAGCTATTTCGCTAAATTTTTTCTCGGTTTAAGCAGTCAAGAATTTCGGCAACTTTTGCGAGTAAACTTACTACTCATATGCGATTACAGCCCGGACGTAATTAATAATCTACTGGTTGATCATGCAGTGATGTGAACCGAATTCTTCTGCTCTGGGAACCGTCAATCTGCATTCATAGATCTTTAAATACTGCTGCCTCGGTCGAATCTCCCTAAATACTCAATGTTTTTGTAAGTCTGATCACCCTTGATGGATACTCTGTTTAGTTTTGCCGAAAACAATGTTCTTCTAATTATCATGCGAAGCAATCATTTGTTTGGTGTTTTCTAGTATTTTTCTGTCTACTTAGTGCACCACCTTTGGAATACTTTTTGTTTTATCACCCCACAATATTCAACAGGGGGATTTCAAGGGAATGGAGAGTGAAAACATCAGGCTACTATGCATGAAATGATCAGTGTTATCAATGAAACGGGACTCTTATCAATGGATTTCTCTAGGAGTTGTGTTCGTCCACAATTCGGACAGTTGTCCACAATGCGGAAATGAGGCTAGCAGTAATGGATTAAAAGTCAGGGTAATTTTGAAAGAAAAACTGTGCAAATATGTCGATTTAACAACACGGCGGATTATCCTTCTGAAAACATATCGCTTGATCGCAGCAAAATACCCAAAACAGCCCGCAGAAAATAGCTTGTCGTAAATCAGTGTAATGATTTTGTCGTTGATAAATAACAACAATTTCAATTACATTTTCATTTCAGTATTTCTTGAAATTTGGTGACGTTACTAGAAGACATTTACCGTTGGTGGTTGTAGAATCAAGATATGTTTTGCTTTGATCAGTTCACAAGATTGATCACGCGGAATTTCGGTTGGCAGTTGGTTCCGTAATGACGAAAAATGGGAGAAAGCAGACGGTAGCCTGGAGGTTGTATCTATGCTTATAACCAGAGACTACCAGTTGAGCTATGTTGGTTCACTTTCAGTGGTTGAATGTGTATGCGAAATGGTTGCTGCACCTGAGTGTAATGTTGAACAACGACCCACAGCATGCATATTCTTACCAGCGAAGTCTGAATCTAAAAAAAAAACAAAATTTGATACTAAAATGGCAATCCAGTAGCGTTTTATATTCCACACAATTAAAGGGAAGCCACAACAGATCATGTATCTTTTCTGAACCAAATGTTTCGCAAATACAATGTTTCCGCCTCAAACGTGTCTTTTTTAAGAGCAAATGTCGCATGTTTCTGAGGCAGTAAGATAGCACCAGAAATGTTTTGCAGTTGCATTGAGAAACGTTCCACGCAAAATAAGTCCCCGGACAAGTTTTGTTGAATACTTTTACAAAACACACGGTACTAAGGTGTGGATGATCCCCATCGGACGAAACATACAACTGTGAAGCCTGGTTCATAGAGCGGCAAAATACTGAGTTGAACTGGTATTTTGCAGGTAAAACTACGCGTTTTGACAACCACACAATTGACGGTTTCTTAAAACTGGTGGCATTCAGTATCCGTCCTGAAAAACCGCATTTTTGAGGCTTAGCAAGATGGGTGCACAGTTGACTTCTAAGCGCTCATGAAAACACAACACAATTGTTTCCTTTGAAGCGTGCATACTTTTCCAACAATGGCGAGAAGGTCTCCGTGCTTTGCCCATGCGCTTCCCAGAAACGGTTTCTTGAAAAGGCGAGGCTTGCAATGCAGTACAACTTTCTAGACGTCATAATGAATAAGATCTAAACTAAAATTCGCCGCTTATTTTTATTGTAGAAATATATGCGCCTATATTCCTGTTTTTGGATGTAACGGAAAAGTTTCTATTTCGATACACGGAAGCTAAGGAGAGGAGTATAGTGATGGAATACATCCATCGGCTGAAGCTTTTACTCCTTAGTTTTTAAGTAGTCTCTCTTCTTCGGGTGGTTCCTCAGCAATGACTGTAGTTTACTTACATTTGCGCTTACATGATGATTACGTTCTAAAACCCGCACATGATACCAGAGATATGTTTTTGCTCACCTGGTTAGTTTCTGCATTATCTACATGCGGATTGCGAGATCATAAATATACGCTGTAGGTCTGATGCCCCTCAAAGACAACGGAATTTTAGCGGATATACACTCATTTGCAAACTAATTTGTTTTTTTCGAGAGACTCACCTGGAACCCAGCTGAATCACTCGGATGTGCTGCACCAGGCCACCTCATGTTTCAGTCGCTACGATATTTGAAATATCGCGATACATGCATATCTTTGTAATGTACTACTCATAAGGTCGATGAAAATCCGTCGACAGCCCACGACCGGTTTCGCCCTTTTTGGGGCTCATCAGGTAGGCGCAGTCCCCGGGTTTCCGTCGACCTTATGTTCTACTTAAAGCCAAATTGCACGAAATTAGTGAATATACACTCATTTGCAAACCTGATGAGCCCCCAAAATGGCGAAACCGGTCGTGGGCTGTCGATGGATTTTCAGCAACCTTATGAGTAGTACGTTACAAAGATACCACCGAATTTTCCTTCAGCTCTGTCGATGTGTGCTGGTATAAAGGCTCACGATGAATCACTGGGAACGCTTAACGCTAAAGCTCAATGTGGTGGAGTAAATGGTTATAATCCGTTGTTTCGTGTGCCGTTGGCAACCTTTTTGGGGGGTTTCTACAATTGGTGCTCAGGTCTCCTAAAATTACACCAAAACACCCTTGTTTAACCATCATTTTTGCAACCAATATTATCCAAGATGCATGTTTGCATGCGTTGCTGTCAAGAGTTAGCGTAATTTGGAGGAGAATGGACTCCTTCTTTTGTAAAACCGTACCACAAGAAATATGGCAACAAGATATGATAGAATGACCTGAATCCCGTGATTGAATGTTAATTGACACCAAATTCCCGCCAAAGCTGAAACCCGCTTACTGCTGGTCAACTCCACTTTACCGAGCGCTTGTGTTGAACTACTAGTGGTTCGAATATAATTTGAAATCAGTGAGATGCGGACTGCTGTTATCTTTCAACAGGTGTACTTTTTGGCACAGAACGACTTCAATTATGCAACTTTTGCAGGAATTATTGGTCTCTGTGTCGTATGCACCTCTTGTTAGCATAAAATGCGCCTGGAGCTTGCAAAGTTGTACGGACCGTGGGGTTATTCAATGTGATCAAAAAGTTTAAGGTGGCTCAATACCTAGGGCACAAGTTTGCCGACTGGACAGTCCGTAATTCGCACTAACCCGCAGAATCCCAAATGCTCTTCTCAATACTTTGCAACTTTGCAATACTCCAACCGTTGTTCTTGGCATTCACGCTTAAAGTAATATTATGACTATTCACTCTATCATTTAAGGTGTATAACTTTCAAAATAGCTCCGCAGGTATATGAAACTATTTTTGACAGTTGACTTGTGAACTGTCAAAAGCCTGGTTTGCCAAGAAGCTTTTTTCCGCTCCACTATTCAATATTTGATCATGCGACGGGTTTGAGATTCACACGATTTTCAACATAAAAGACGCGAAACCATAATTGGTAATTCTACCACATACTACAACGCTCATTCAGAATATACGGGACTACACTGCACTGTACCTGCTGTTTATGGGCCAAAATAATCAGCGATTTTTCTTATGGCAAACTTTTTTCTAACTGGAAACATTGTTTTTTGCTTTTGGAATCGTGCTCTGTAGAAATATGTGCCATGTCTGGGTATTGTGAAGGCAGGCTTCGGCACCGAAATGATTGTGCAAATTCACACAAATCCAATGAGTGTCTAAAGAAAGGTATCAAAAACTTCCATTGTGATTCACCTGTTCAGGTTCCATGTAGTTTGTGCATTAGCCAAGCGACTAGACACCCGATTTCTTCACCTGGAATTTTTTGTTCGTTTTTGTTGAATTGTCAGAAACCAAGCACAGAGTGGAGCGGTGAGCTGTCTGCGGCTGCCCAGTGGTTGCTATCGCAACACGCCTTTCAAAATGGACTCAGCGAACTCCAGTTAGCAATATGGTAAGTAAGATGGTCATTTACGTACCATTTAGTGGGGTTAATTTGCCGCCAGTTGCCCATCCACAAATGGTATTGACTACATCTATGAAGTAGGGTACGGGTTTTATTTTAGTTCACCGTCCAATCGCTACTTTTCGTGGGGAATTTATTTGTAGTCCTTGTTCTTTCATACCATTTTGGATTGTTAAGTGTGCGCGAGAAACCAATCTAAATCTTTTAAGACTTATTTTAGGTGACCGTCGCGCTGCGGAACCTAAAGTAACAGACAAGTGATTCTTTTTGCCTGGGTAACTTTACAGAAAGTTTTAAAATGCCTGTGCTGCGCGTTATGCTTTATGCACCTGGGAGACCTAGGAAGATCCGTATATTATTTAAGAATCAAGGTTTAAAAGGTTTACATTATTTCACGTGCGTTTGTTAGCTTCTTAAGGAAAAGTTAGAAATTTAGCTTTGAACGATATGGTAAAAAGTTGGTGCCTAAAACAGTTTGATACATTGCGCTCTATGGTATTATGTCAACAAAGTTTCATCAAGCGGCAAGTATACTTAGGGATAGGGTTTTCTCCTCTCTAAGCTGGAGGGAAAAAAGGAAAAAATATTTTGCAAGGCCAGGCAGACTTTCGAAAATTCGCATAACGTCTCGGGACACGAAGACTGACACTATTGGTTATGTGACAAACTAATCCTTCATCAGCTGGATGCACTGAAAAATCTGGCCACACATCACAAAGGCTAATGGTTTTGATGAAAGAAGAGGCGTGATTAGGCTGGCGCATGAAGTGCGTCTTCTAATTGCCTATTAGCTGATAAAGTTTGATGACCGGGTCTCCTTTATGCTCGCATAGGTATTTTCCTCTTTTGGAATATTTTATCAGCAACTTTTGTCCGGACAATCCTTTTTCTATTTCATTTGCTTACTTCCTCTTCCAAAGTCATGTACATCCTTCGACCTTTGCATAAAATTTACCTCAAACATTTTATATCTGTAGAAAGCGGGTGCTTTCTTTTCGCATCCTTATTGTTGCCAAACGGCTGATGTATCCGAATTTGTCAGTATGAATGCGTTAACTAGACAGTCGACGTCGTCCTGTCACTGAGTATCTTCTCACGTATATTCACTGGTAACTTTCGCAGAAATGTTTCCAGAGTATAGTGTACCGTCATTTTGAAATGCTGCGGCCAGTTAACCCACTTTTCATCTAACGAATATCTTCAAGAAAGGCATAATAACATCCAATTCTAGGCTCGAGGTTCTATATGGTAAGTGATGCATACAAGCTTGTGTGTCAATAGGTAATCACAAAAATACATTTGCGTTCATAATTAAATGACTGATACTGGACACCCGATAGCGTCCTGGCACTTGTTATATCCAGAGCTTGCACTGGTATCTTGTGTTTGGCTACATGCACACGTGTGTGAGGACCGGTTACTAATTAATTCACAGCTCGCGAAAAATTGGTGTCCTGTTTTTCTTGCCTGAACCACCATGTGTGTCTAGGTCCTCAGCCAATGCAACACCCTTGGTGGCTGCTGTTTTTGGAGGTTGAGCTGTTAAATAACGGGGTTATTATGCTGTTGTCCCCATACAGCAAAAATTTCTCCTTTTCCCACAGCACACACCCACCGATTTCGCCTCATTCAGCTTGGTATAGTCCTGATGAGTAGTCCCTACGTGTCTGTCTTCATCGAATGTGACCCAACTAAACACATCAAAGCCATCCATTCTTCCCGATTATTATTTTTTGACGAGTAGATCAGTAGATTCTCTAAGCTTAAATAGTATATGTCAGGTTGCTTAAAGAATCATCTCTACGCTCCATGGAACGAACCAAGATATCTAACCACTTAAATGCAGAGGCAGCTAAACTGGAAGACTTAGTTGCATAAGGGGAGTCAGTATTGGATAAAGAACGGTGTTGTAATTATCCTCGGATTTTCTAAGGACACGTCCTGTTTCCTGGAGTCGTGCCTTCATGGCCGAAGTATGGGCGTAAAACGTCTCACATACTACGACTTATAGCACGACTGAAAATTGGGCGGGGCTATGTCCTCGACCCACTGGCTGATGAAAGAGGTTCACTGTGTGCGGTGGTTGGGTGACGGCCACCCATCTGAATGAATAGAGTGCTTTCAGCTATACACCAACCAGTGAATAAACTTTTCACTAAATTTTGTGCGGCTTCGCGTTTACAACCACCAGCAAACTGTAGTATGCGTCCTTTGTTAGGGCCAAAAACAGCGCACCGAAATGGGCAGATAATTGCCAGGCCAGTTGGGTTTTCCAGCATTTATTCCATATTATCCTCAGATAAACTAAAAACCAACCGTCCCAAATCCACCCACAACGGCGCGACCATTTCATTCATAATGATCGCCAGTGATATAAACTTCTCTTTGCTTTATTGGTAATAAATCCCAGAAAGGAAGCTAGGACGCCTTAATTTATCAGTAAAGAATTTTCATTGTCTTACTATACCCAAACAAAGTTTCTGCAGTAGGACAACATTTCACTTTAGTTTAGACAATGCCCCAAATGTGGAACAAAGCGATTTTTAAAATCTGAAAATTTTTGAACAAAGAATTTGCTTCGCAATCACGTGTATTGTTTATGTGCCTACTGCAATAGGGTCACAATTCAGTGTTTACCAAAGGTAAGTAGTTTTAGCTCGGGCGATTTTGCTACCCATGTATGCAAGTATACCTTGGCTGGTCAATTCTGGACCCCTTCGACCGTGTGATTTTGCTGGTCTTGTGTAACTGTTTACAGATTTGTGTGGGTAAACAATATTAACTTGTGGGAGCAGGGTAAATAGCTTATCGTCAAAAATTGAAAGTCTACGGATCCTGTCCGATTATCGCATACCTCTTCAGATCAAACGCCAGACTCCTCGAGGCTCCCTACAGAATCATTACTTCAAAATGACCATGGGTACACAAAGGGTTTAACACAATATGCCTCTATTTGTATCCGTTTACGGATATATTTGTCTTGATGCAATCTATTTTTCGCTGTATGATCTCCGCATCTTAGAGTCACTCAAATACGTCTAATTCCCAATTTTCCCAGACGCACAAATCGAAAGATGTTGCATCATCAATCGTTGCCTGAAGCTGCAGATTGTTCGCACAAATTTCCGAATATGTTGTGACACCGATGTGACTATATCACGTAGCTATTGTTTGCAAGGCACACAAAATCACATAAAGGGAATGAATTATTGTATGAGACCGTTTTTCAATACGAGTCGTACAGTCCTTGTGGCAAAACCGGTGCGCATTTAGAGACCTAAAATTTTGGATCACTCTCGACAACGTCGGATGGAATCCGTTTCACGTGACTAGCAGCACTGCCAATTTGCATAACACGGTTTCCCACTTATCCAAAATTTATCGAACGAACCGATCCCAAAATCCCATCACTGTTTGAACGTCGGGACATATTTTTAAGCAAAGCAAAGGGTTTGACGACAGTTCCGACTGCACCTGACCGAATAAACCCGTTTCGATAATAGAGTGCTTCCCAAAAACCATATTTCATCATCGTTTTTCGTCCTCTGATTAAATTCTGCGTTCAGATGTATGTGTTCCCACATGTTCCCGGTTTTGTGCTTAGATGTTGCTATCTGTGCAAAAAACGTTAGTTCTGCAAACAAACTAATGATGGAAAGGCATGCAGACATGCGCCCGAGAAATTTTAATGTGACCCTCCAAAATGTAACAAATAGACGTAAATTGCTACAGTAACAATAGATTTAGCGCAATCTGACAAGTGGTCCAAAATCATCTTTACAAGTTAGGGTCCAACAGAACAAACTCATGTAAGACCTTATAGGCTTAATAATTTGTATGACTGTTGTGGAATGTAGGTAGCTCGGGTGCGCTGTTTGGTTGTTGGCCTGTTCGCCGAGCTTGGCAGTTGGATTGCAAACGTTTCATCACCAATCGAGTTGACATCGTCAGTTCGGGGTTGAGTGGGTTTGAGGAATTCACCCACAGGAGAATGACAAAGATTCTTCAAGTCTTCTAAACAGAACGTGCGGGGTGAACGCGCAGCTTTCAACTACAGTCCGTCTGGCACCGCCTTAGCTGTCTCCTGGAGCAGGGATTGTTGTGGTGCCTGCTGTAGTTGTAGTGATCCTGGAAACAGACTGTATAACCTCAAACCAATATTTCCATATACGAAAATAGCAAATGATTGAAGAAACTCGGAAGATGTGGTACGATCACGTGAAAAATGTTGTGCTTTTGGCGCCTATACTATCTCAGACAGTTTGCAACCCTAAACACCATTGAGGCTAAATAAACCCAACAAATAAGCTCATATAACTCCGTCATACCCTACTATTATTTCGACAGATCCTGTCTAATAGTCTGTAGTTCTAGAGTAGGTAAAATTATCCCCCAGGGAATGAAACCATATTAGCAGTGCGACTTTCAGAGAAATTGCCGATGTTTCTATCGATTCCTATCTCCCCAAGTTAACCCCCCGCCGTTTTTGAATGTGACCGGATTTAGTTTGGCAGTGGTGTATGAGGGAAATCCCTTGAACCACCCAGCACGATCATAATTTTTAGCCCTGCTACAGAAGATTCACAATAAAACAAGACAGCACCTGACTACTCACTACGTCCTCGCTCGTCAATATTTGGCATTTTGTTGCCGTGTTACAAATCCCAAAGCAGGTATGAGTTTCACATCTGGTTCTAGTTTGCGTCTAGCTTGCAGCTTCTGTTTTAGTTTTTGTGATAGGCCCCGGTGGCTGGAATCTAGATATATTTCAGTGATTCAGTAACAGGCCTTACTTCAATCTATCCGCCGTCTGTTGCTGAGACCATCCAGTAACATCAGGCCTAATACTAGCTAGAAGCAAGAGAACTAGAAAGTTCTTCATTTCACCTCTTGTTATCAGAATTTGTAAGATTTGCACTGGCCTTCTTGTGCATCTGCAGCAGAAACGGAACTCAGTGGTGAAAAGTGCTTGGGAGCACAAACAAGGATGGTCTATTCATAGACCCACCGATAGCAGTACCACCACCACCAGCAGGCACCTTAAAAATGTTTTGGAATATTGGTAGTTCGGGTGCATTTACTAGCGGCCAATTAGATTTTTGAGCTGTTTGCTCAGATTGGCACTTGATTCGCAGACATTCTGGCTTTATTCGCGGGGACATCATCAGTAATTTGTAGGGTTGATGGACTCTCTCTGCATGCCTGCACTTATCCAGTATGCAAAGAGAAAAGCTGTAATCTGATTAGCTGTTCGTAATCAACTCACTTGGGGCCCTACTGAGACGTTCGTGTCTTATATTCCCTGCTTTTGATTTCCTCACTACGCACCGTCATTTTTTCAGTGTTTCCTGTGCTAAGTTGAGATTTTTGGTTTGTATTTCGTAACGATCTGTCTGCATGTGTTTTGATGAATTGGTAGTTTGGTGCAGTATTCCTGATTGGTTGACCTCATCAGGCGAATTATCTTTATGGACATTGGTGATTGATTTTTAAATCTTCAGTCTGCAGAGCTCCTATTACATGGGTCCGTTTTTTTGGATTTGTTTAGTCGGGTTTCGAACCAACTACTCTGTCCATTACACATAGAGCGGCCTAATGCAAACTAATTTATCAGCAGTGAGGCTTACGAAATTTTTCCGTGAGTAACTAGTTATTGGGAAATTATTGCTGTACACATATGCATGAGTTCGGTATAAAACGTGAAACAGGTGTCGTTTTTTTATATGAGGAATGCAGTTGCCCCAAAATGACCAGAAAGTTAGTAACACATGGTGGTTTCTCATGAAAGCGAGTTAGCTGTTCTGTTATTTGCGCTTGATGACCGAGGTTTAACTGAACGAATGAGAAATTTATGAAGGTATGCAAATGTGCAATGTACGAAGCAAATAATCAACTACGTCGCTACTTCACTGTCGTAAAGTATCATGTACACGGGACATTCTCCTTACACAACGCAGTTATTGACATTAGAGGCGGATATTGGCCACAAAGTCGTTTTATGCAGTTTGCACAATGCAATTTTGATAAGAGGAAAACCGGGATCATGAAGGGTTTTGTGGGAACAGATTGTCAAAAATGTATATGAGAAAAAACGACTCCCTATTGGAGAGAAGTAAACGCATGACGGTTGGCGTGGTGTTCGGCTTCGCTGTTTTTGTAGCTCAAACGTCCAGCTTAATATCAGCTCATCCACTACTGCCTTTGTTAAACGTGTGAACTTGGTAACTGTGTGGATCTGAAATGTCATTTTCACTGGGTCACATGTTGAAACAATCCATCCATTCACTCATAGGCTTTCGGTCAAGCACAAGCGTCTTCTGACGGAACGCCTGTTTAATTCATCCAAGTCTCGTTATTTTAACGAATTTGTGCAATACGGCTACAGATCTTTGTTTCTATACTTTTCATGAGTGTTTTTTTGCAAGGCTTCTAGGTAACGAGTTTTTAGCTCTTGTTTTCGGCCGCGTCACAAATGCAAGTCAAAACAAATTATCAGCATGTACATCCGATTATTTCTTCAACCTGATGAGGTATCGGGTATCCTAAAATGATGCGAAACTCTGAGGTTTTCTAGTTATACGCGTTGTCGGGTGTCAATTTGGGCCAGTTGTCCAGACGTTTCACTGCGGTCGCGTCCATTCAAATAATCTGAGAATCTGAAAATTTAGGAGGGCTGGACGACTGATTATATTAAGCATTGCACATTGTGATGGTAGACTTTTTTATTAAAAATTTCGATTTTAAGTACAATCGGTTCAGAAAGAGGGATCGGAGGATTCCGTGTGTTATCTTTTTGTCAAAAAGTACACTATCCAGGGTGAGACTAATGAGTTGAAAATCATCATACAAAATAAAAAGGGGTTATACGAAATCCATCCCAACTGACTTAAGGCACAGAAATATCAAATAAAATGTTGGAGCTTAAGGGTAGCTTTAGGCATCATACTATGAAAAACGTTACTTTTACCCTTGTCAGCTTGGTTTTCGCTGCATGACTATAACATGCGTGGCGCAAAATAGCATGTAGGACAATTTGGTTACAAATTTGGGCACTGCTTTATAAAAGACGCAATTTAGACAAGAGAAAAGTTGTTAAAATACTTGGCCGTTCAAGTTTAGATTCTCACCAAATAAAACTTAAACTTGTCTTAAGTGAAAGCGTCTCCTCAGTCATTCCCTGAAATATTATTTCACCGCAAACGTTCGGTCAAAAAATGGCCACTCCAAAAAATGTTATTGTGGTTGTACACACATGATATTTGTTTTTTATTCCACGCCGTATTTACTCGTGGTTCCAAATTACATTCACAAACACGTGGCTTATCACGGGATTGTGTGTAATCACCTTGTTGGCGCAAACCAACCAGCCTTCTGAAAATGTTTATCGGAAATTTATGTGGGTCGCATAGCAATGTTATACGAGTGGACAGAATATGCTAGCCAATGCATATTGTGGTGTGCCGAAAAAAAGAGAATAAACGGAAAAAACATTCAGGGAAGTCGTTCTATTTAAGGATATGTTGATTCAGTTTTGTGAAATTTTCCAGATTGACCCAAAGGTTGGCGAATGATCCGGAAAAAGACAATTTCATTAATTCTTAATTTCATCTCTCTGGGTCAAGAAAGCACAATTATTCCCAGCCTTAGCAAGAAAATCCAAGGATAATATATTCAGCACAGCCCGGTAGTTTCTCTGTTGATTGCTTGCGTTTATCATTTTTTTTTAACTTTAGTTCCTGGATCTGTTACTCCAAAGTATACCGAAAAATGCCAATCGGCTGCTCAATTATTCTGGCGCGTCTGCAAGAGCTGACGCTCGTGTGGTCAGATAAAGAGTTGGAACAGGAACATGTAAGTCTCCAACAACAATTTAAATGCGTTTTAGAGGAGAATGTATCTTTCGTTTGAGCGGGCGTAAAACAAAAAGCATATGTCTTGTAAATAGGATTAGTGGCACGGAGCTTTTCTGTCCGTAGAGCTTTATGAGTATGTGGCAAATCTGACAGCTGGCATTCAGATTGTTCGGATAACTGAGCAGATGCTAAGGTGGAGTCTCACACCTGATTCTAACTCAGCAGCTGTGCAACTGGTCGCAGACGATTGATCCTCTGACAAACAATCCGAACTAATAAATAAAGGTTTTCTGGCTGATCTCCATGACCATTTCATGAGTCGCAGGCGGCGGGTTAACAAACTTCATATGGGATTCGCTTGGTCCCAGAATGTGCCACGGTAAGAAAGGCGGTTGTAACCATCAGGTTGCTACCACAGCAAGGATAGTGAACATGGATAATTGCACCAAGGTGAATGCTTTGCAGAGAAATAACCTGTTTTGTGAAAACAAACAACCGCACTTGCTCTACCCACACCTAACTGTCAAATTACGGTTGTGACACGTTAATACGTATTTGGTGCTGAAAAACCCAGCAGGTAACTAACATGTTCAACAAGAGTGATCGCACCCAGATTTGAGATAGTTATTCTGTGCCGCCGAATCTTACCCAAGTTACGTCTGAGAGATGACCGGTTACATTCTCAAGTGTGGTAAACCTGAATGCACATGACTTTGGTTGGCAGAGACCATGCTTCAGTTAAAACTCATTTCATCGGTCCCATAAAGCGCGCTTGATTTTTTTCATTCAGGAAAAAATATTATTCTAAACGGTGGGCTCTCTATTGCTCCTCTTGCTTGGTTTCTCAAGAAAGCGTACATTTACATCCATCGCTATATGGGTGTAACGGTCGAACGGTATCTTCGAGTGACGCGTAATACCAGAACCTCCGGGTAGGCAAAACAAAGTCGGAGCTGGGTTTCTATACGGTACTATTAGGGTGAGAGAAATTCGCAATTTGTACAAACCTCGACAGTAGATACGCGTCCAAAACAAACAGTCCGCTTGGACTTCAAAAGTGCAAAGCAAGGGAGCAAACAGGCTCCAACGTGCGACAGTCACACGTGCAAAGTCGGATACAAATGGCCGGATGCCCTCAAGGCCAAATGGGTGAAGTGGTAAGGACAAACAAACGTCAGTTCATATATACACACTAAACACAAAAGTGGGGCGGGGGTTACAAATGGGGACATAATAAACGTGGGGAATTTCATTGTCAACATGACGGATGATACAATGGGTATAGCAAGTTTGCTACTTCTAGATTTTGTCTGCGATAAATTTCGGCATTTCTAGTATTAGAGTTTAAGTAGCCAAATTGCCCCAAAATGAAGTCATTTTATTCTTCCTTTATACCAACCAACTCTGTTAACATCAGTCATGTATGTGACTATATGCCAATTTCGGTAGCCATTTTTTCTTTTTGATAGCTGGCTTACTTGACCAAGTCATTTGAAGCATTCACGGAACACGCTCTGATGTTACTGACCCAGTGTCGTGTCGTGTTTTCCCAAGAACGACCGGAAACATTGTCACACTATGAAAATTTGCTGTGGTAAGTACATCCACACAGTTTCGTCTTATGTAAGAAAAGCGCCTGATAGTTCACGGTTTGCAATTGCCTGAACAAATTAATGGTGACAACAGATTTTTAGGACAAGACAAAGGTTTAAATCAGGAAGATTTACATGTTACTCTTTACTCCGTTTGACAAACTTTATCATGGTCTCCGAGACGTAGAACAATAAATATCGGTCGAGTCTACAAGGCATACTTTCTGGTCATTAAACGTTCGATGTTTCGCTTAACTAACCATATTCCATCAGCAAATGACTCATAATCAACCAAAAGCAACCATGTTGGAATGGAGTTAATTGTGGTTTTAATAGATCAATCATAAACGCAAAACGCTTACGTGGTAATAAGTACTGTGCAAATTAAAATAGTATACACGCATTTTTAGATCATACTGCTCGGGTACAGAATCAACGCGTCTTCAAATAAACAGAGGAAGTTGGTTTTGAATAACGCGTTTGATTCAAGTCAGGAAAACTGAGCGACTAAGTGCGAAAACATTCTCCGCATACAATCCGACATACGATCAAAATTTACCTTCGGCTATCTTGAATGAAATATAGCTCATGAGTAAACCTAAGGCGCCGTCTCAAGTCCGCGCTTCCCTCGTTGTTGTTGAGTTGCAGTTGTTCCATAATGCTAGCGAATATTATCACCGAATTTCCTCAATATTTCAGCTGCTTGCAGGTTTTACACAATTCGCGACCATTTCAGTTCTGCCTGCCATTCAGTACAACCCTGCAATGTGAACTCACGGCTGCAATCAAGGTGCTATCAATGGGATCTTTACGATCATTGTTGTTTGTTTCGTCGTTGTGTCACCTTTACTTTATGGTGTTTTTCCGGGTACATCGTTTTCCATGGACAGTCAAATGGTTGACATGAGTTGGTTTTTTCCTCCTTGTATTACCACTGGAAGTGGGAAAGTAATATAGTTATTATAGTTAGTAAATATATATTCCTTCCGGACACCACCAAGCAAATGTGTCGCTTGAGCTCACATGAATCATGGATTATCTACAATTCATGAGCGGTCTGTCGGAAAACCCGGATGAGCGGAAATTTTCGATTCCCTTTCAACATTCACAACAAAAGAGTCCTCTGTATCACCATAAGATTTATATCTCATAATCCGGTAACCGCATTCAGCTTCACCAGTGTAGATGTAACTAAAGTCGTGAGACAAACACCCCTAAATATTTTGCCTCAACTCTTGAGGTATATGTTTGAATTTGCTAAATGGCGATTAATGGGATTTCAAGATTTTTCGCTGAATTACACGTATGTTCCGTATCTGTCAGACTACTCATATGTACAATCAACAGCCCGGGCGTTGGCTAACATTTCATTTAAATCACTTCTAGTTGGCGATCACCCAGGAACACAGTTTAGTCTCAGAATTCGCCTCCAACCTGTGATCACAAACCCTGCAGCACTATGAGTCCACTCACTGATGCACACATCGAATGCCAGACTACAATATTTTGCAATCGGACGGATATAAATTTACCATGGCATAGAGGAACTGGTAGAATCACCACACGCAGTGCTTGCTGAACACAAATCGTTGCCCATGAGGCATGAATTCTAGACAGTATCCAGCAAGAATATCGTTAATTTATCTGTGCTGAGTTTCAAAGCGAAGTCGTACTAAACTGGGTATTAGTTGTTTGTTGTTTTAAAATCTCTACAGCAATAAAACACTTGAATCAACCTGTGTTCATTCGCGGAATCATAACCGTGCTTAGTGATGCGCATTAGCGTGAAGATAAACTGTGGGTTTGTTCCAATATGCACAGATGGACCTTGTGGAAGTTCGGGGGCAATCAATTACATTACGATGGTTATCGTTCTACTGATATATTCCTATTTGTTACTTTTTTGTCTAGTGGGTGTGTATATGGCCTAGTTTTACGGGGACATATGCGTGACCTCAGGCTCGCATCCTTCATTTAATTGAATGAAGCATCACATTTACACGGCCTTCTAAAGCACCTGATGAATGAGGAAATATTCAATCAACCCGGTACTGCTCAGCATTGCCTTTTGTGTAAGCATGTGCAGCTTTTATCACTTAATGTGTTAATTTCTGCTGGGCTGGATTTTTTCTCAAGAATGTTATGGGTCATAATCTAAGGGCGCGTTGTTTCGTCTGATTTCCCTCCCTTCCAGAAACGGGCGGTTACCAATTATGAGTTATTCAAAAAAATAGCTGAAGTACCCGAGGGCAAAGCGGTAAGCTTTCTGTATTTTTATCGGGTTATGTGGGATGAAAAAGGCAGATTTTTGTTGGTGATTTCGCGCCCATTTTGACGTTAATGACACATAAATAACAACATTTTTCACTTTATCTATGAGTCCTTGTGGTTTTTCGATGAGTACATAATCTATTAACTCAGAAAAGTTCCAAAGTTTGGAACGATAACTGGTTGGAAGGATTAGTAGAGTCAGGGTATAACAATGTGCTAAAAATCAAGTGAAGCGATTTTCCCACATGACGCGCGCGAATTTGTCTGCTCGGGTAGTTCCAGAGGTCCTGAAGGTAGAAAACAATAGTTTTCCTTGTGTATTCCAAAAGTTCAGCTCTGTTTGTGATATCTCAAGCAACTAGCGTGATGACTAGTTTTCTCCAGTCGTATTTATCAGCTGCACATGAGTGTTTACATCCTAACCACTTTTCGAGGAAATTAAATTTAATTAGAATGCTCTCCACACGTTTACCACAAACTATTCACTACCACGGGTTTTCTACAAACTGCCGAATATTTGTGTTACTCAGATGTTACCGCATTTGTTGGATAAGATTTGTGAGAGTTATGAATACCGAGGACGAAGAAAAAGGGCAGTTTATGGCCTGCCAGCATTCAGACTCGAGCTATACTTTTTCAGATACAGCGGCTATAATAAGCGCGCGACTTTCTGTTTCATTAATGTACCACGGTTTACCCTGCCGCTCTCGTCGTGGGATGCACGACACCTAGAACTTTCCAGTCTTACAACTAACCCAAGCTCGCATCTCCGTAACTTTTAGAGGTACACGTTCGCCCTATGCTTCACTGTCAGCTTCCGTAATGGAATCGTGCATTTGTAGCAGATCGTTAGAAATAACCCGCCGCTTTCCAGTGAAAGAAATTTGCAGATGAAACTCAGTTTGTCACCACCGAGCTAATACTTTCGCATCAATGATTGATGACAATTTCCCTGTTCCAGAACAATCAAGGTGAAATAGTATGGGTGCAAATGTCAGATGTTGCTTTGAACTACACATCACAATTTTCTTTTCCCTGTTAAATAACACTATATTTCACTTGAGAATATGGCATACAACTGAATGAACACAGAATAAGTCTTCACAATGAAATGTGCTCATCATAATATCACTTTAAGTTGCACTACATAACAGAAGTGTTGTGATGAGATACAAACTTTTTTTGACGCAAAAAAGCTCGGAATATCTTTTTAGAAGTGGAAATCCCATCCCGTCTTATAACAGGCTCAGAGACACACGTAAGATGGTTGTACTCTGCTGCGTAATGAACTTTGTTGTCTTTCAGTTTGTCTATTAAAACTAGAGAATAGTTTTGTGCTTCATAAAGCAGACAAATAGTTTATTGTGTAGCTGGCGCACGATAATCGAGATTAATAGAATAGATTAACTTGGCCGATTTCCTTAGAGTGACTTGGTTGCACAACAGTGGCCATTTAATCTATGTCACCGGCTATAAGCGCACACACAGGTGGCAAGATGGTGAACAGTGTTTACTTTCTTCTCCAGAGGAGACCTACCACCCGACTTCCTGCAAAATCTTCCTTGGTCTTAGACTGCAGTAAACTCGTTGATTCTATTGCTAACCAACATCTACTGAATAAGTTCCATTCTCTGCCGCATTCTTGATTTGAGTATCCTCCCAAGTATCAAGCATAACTACCCGTCCAAGACTTCGATCTCTTCAAAGCTGCATGATGCCGACATGAAGTTTCGTCATGTATCGACTAGTGATCTACCTGGGTATCCGAATCAAATTAACCAACTCAAAGACGGGAGTAAATATTGTGCTACTGGAAATAGATATGTAGCCCACCAGCTTATACGGCACTCAAGTTTCTCTGAACAAAGTTATATTGATTAGAAACAAAACGGTTGGTTTGGTCCAGTCCGGCTGTTTGTTCAGAAGCTCATTAAAGAAGCATAAGAGCCTTGGTTTGATACGCACTATCACACGACCGAATGTAAATTCATGAGATTTTATGTTGATACGTGAAACTTGTTGTTTACCTACTTTTTCATTTAGGAAGCAAATGTGTGTAAAGAACGACAATTCGTTCTTTATACCCCAAAATTAAAATAAACAGAATTCTCCTTGCTAGTGCAGATCATTCAATTATTGTACACTGTAGGGACGGTGCAACAAAGATTAAGTACTGAGTGGATAGCTAACAGAATAATAAATAGATGTCTAGTGTGGGTCTGACACTAACGCTTGACTTTTTCAATATCAATCTTTTGGTAATCAGAAGAAATTTTACCGTGGAAAAAACAAAAAGATCAAATATTTTCTTGAAAAACACTCAAGAAATGATAACCATGTATTAAAAATGGGACGAGCTCTGCGGATAACATTTACTACCCCGCGTTTCCTCTCGCCGAACAGCACCACTGACGAGGATGGTTACAAATCTTGGTCCCAATAACCTAAGTTTCAATGGAAAGTAACTTCTTATACAATAATTTCTTTTGCGCCTAAAAGTTTTCACCGATTTAGGTAAATTTACAGAACCAATGCCATTCATTTGGAACAGAACATGTATGCTGAATTCCTATTTAATTCTTTGTCTGTTAGTTCGTAAGGCGGCTGAATAGGCACCCTGATGGAAATGTGAAAACGATCCATTGAACGCAAATAGGCGGGAAATATCTGCCAATAATTCATCATTTCCCATTTACAGAAATTAGGTTGACCCGTGTACGTTTGTTCGACACAAGATCCAAACTACTTCCTGTGGAGATTTGAAATCTATAAAACAATTCGACGTTCAATTTAATGGAACTGTCATGTCGCTACTGCTTTCAGTTCTCCTAATCACAAGCTATTAGGCATACACCTGATTCCACCCGGAAATCGTGTCACATAAGTGTGTCACTGGTGCAGGCGGTTAAGTGAACGGTGTTGTCATTTTCAAGTGCATCCAACAAACAATAGCGGCCCTAGTGCCCTGTGTTCTGTCATGTGACGCTCAATTGTTCTTGTTTGCTCATCCTTTTATTCCCAGTTTGGTCACATTATGAATGTGGACATTCGGAGAATGGTAATCCATCTGACCAATTTGACTGATGATTTGCGGGCGGCGGACACGGTATATTCTCCAGTTATGCAAAGGTAAACTGCCAGATCTTAGATATTAGTTTTTCAAGATTTGGTAACAACAGGAAACGGTTTCATCATGCAAACTGTATTTCGAAGGGCGCCAATGGGATACCAGGCTGGGATGCTTCAAATTCCCCGTGAAAATCCTATTAATATCAAAGCAACATCCTGAATCTGGAGCGTGAGGTAGCTCAGTTTTCATTGTGTAAACTTACTGAGAGGTCAGTGGTTATACTGGCGTCCTTGGATTGCTGTCCACAAGTGCACTTGCAAATGGCAATTAAAACTAATAGGTTCTCTCAGCTAAAGACATTTCGTATTTCGGAAACAGGCGTACATTCCGAACTGCTCCTTAAAGCCTGCCCAAACAAAGTTGTAACTGGAGCGGCCTCTGCAATCAAGGGAGAAAAATCAGAGTGTATTTCGGTCAGCCCTTTGTTAACATTTTCTAAAGCTTATTTTAAAGCTGGTGGAACTAGGCACCTACAGACACTAAGCCCAATAAATATCATTGAACCCAAATGAAAACGCAAACAAACATATCGGCACATAATTTGTGTTCGCCAAAATATGTTTGCCGTTATCCGCGTCATGTGATTTAAGAGACATATTGTGTTTTGCACCATTTTTTACTTGACATAATAGATTCCCTATGCTTGAGTCGTATGATTTGCCCCGTAAACAACACATGAAATATGACTGATAGTTTGCTTACTGGGTAGTCGCCATTCATCACTTATAAACAATAAATTAATTATATCTTGGTCCAAATTGAATGGGTTTATGCCGAACTCATTACGCGAGACAAACGGAGCACAATTTGTGTAAAATGCAATGGCCGCATGCAAACATTTGGCAGTTGGTCGATAGCAAGAATTTAAATCTACGTTGTAATCAAGATGAGCGTGATTCACATTGAACATGATACGGAAGTGAATGTTACTATGTGGTTGTACCGCATTTATGCTGAATTTTCTCCATGCGGTTTCTCTTTCAGGACGCGATAACTACAAACGCTCCTAAGTGTGTATTCTCAGTTAATGAAATTTACTTTTAGAAGCTGCTTATTGTTGAGTGCCATGGCCGAAAGTGTAGTAGAATGTGTAAAACAGAAGATGCGTAACTCTAAATACATGCTGGTATTCGACAGAACAAGCTTCTATGTTTAACTCAGGCCAGTAAGTTGAACGCGACTGATACAGCAGTGTAATGCTCCTTGTTACTTTTCGGGCAAATAAACATATATATGAAAGCTGTCGCATGACCTGACTGAGTGCGCCGACTACTCAAGTGGTATGAGCTATAGGAATAGAAATAAATATTTCTGATAACAAATGCAACTTACTAAGTTATAACAATGATAAAGCATTCATCTCACTGCTAATCTCCCGACAGTTTGCTTTTTCAAATTTTTTCATGGTTTTACACTGAACCACTTTTTTATCGTCCCTAAGCTAATATCTTCCGTACATACAACATTTATGCCCAAAACTCCTACCTAGTATACACAGACGAGGTGGTGCATTGGTCAGCCTTTATATACCTGCTGTTATTTGCCATTTGAACTATGTAAACAGTATTGTATTTGTGTTTACTTACAGACAGGTGGGAGTTTTTCTTCAGGACCTACTGCACCGTACATATACAAAACTGGTAAGTGATTACATCTGGTTCGCGGCTGAATCACCTGTCATGCACAACATACTTATCTGTGAGGCAAACTAAATTCTTTGAAAGATCTACATCACTTACCTGAAAGAAAATATGAAGGTTTTACTCCTGTAGACAATACACTGATGGAAAATTCTGGAATTTTTGTGAGAGTGTGAATCACTGAAGTTAACTTTTTACGGAGAATCTCAAACATTCAGCTCCTCAGATGAACGTGTATAGATAATACATTGAGGTACTAAGCAGATTTGGCTATACTGTAGTGTGACTCAAACGGGATACCACCATCAGCCTGATCTAGTTTTAGATAAGTTTGATTTCGTTCCAAAAATTTCTTACATTCTGACATCCAACCAGCATTCAAAAAAACCGTAAATACAAGCATACATCGTTCCTTCGAGAAGGAGTGAAACTTAGTTGATATCAAAATAATATGCTGCACAGCTGGAAATCACAGGCCCATTTATCGCCGTTAAGTTTCGAACGAATAATTTGCCTAGTTTATTTAATTTTCCTGAATAACATGCGACGTATAGTCTGTGTGTGTAGATGTTCCTAACAAAAAAGCATTTACCTCAATTCACACCATGGTAAACATTCATTCGTGGGCCCGCTTCTGAATGCGCATACGCTATTCACCGTTGGACGTCTGGTTAAAACGCTCTGTTCAGACCGAATCGGCAATCCAAATCATCTGTAATTTGGTCATTTACGGAATAACTATTTGTCCCCTGACTGGCCACATGACCTTGCTAACACCCTTGATTAAATAAATTTACAAAATTCCGCCGTACCCCTCGATTATATTGCGAATCAAAATACACTTGGATTGTGCCACCCCAAACCTTGGTTTATGAGCCATAGGGCCTAAAAATGTATAAGTGGGAGCGAAAAATACGTTTTGCTGACTTAAATGACCAGTTGAAAATGAAACATTTTGTAAGATCTCGATACTTAGAATATATGACATTCAAGCCAACATACTTATATCACGTGGTTAAATGATGGCGTATATGCACGACAACGGCTTCAAACTTATAGGTTACATTTAATCAAAAAATAAACGAATGTATCTTCTGCACGTGAGACTCCAGCTAGTTGCATTTTGTCTGGCCTTGAGGTGAAACAGAACGCTGTTGTTAAGGGAACCTTTTAGAACTTCTATTGATGAAAATCGTTGAGATACTGTACACCCAATTTCGGTTCTCCCAGAGATCGTAATCTAGTATTACAAAGCGCCAGTGACTGGTCTAAATAAAATGTACAAACAGATTCTGCTTTGAATTTCAGATTAGAACATAGATGCTTGCGCTAGCATCGATGGATGTCTTTACCGCATTCTTTGCTAAATCGCTTAACTCTAAGTTAACCTAGCAAATTTGTAAACACTTGCCTTTCTACTGACATTCACGTGGATTGAAGGAATACAGTCATGCTGAGAAATTCGTTCCATAGTGTTTCCACGGATTTCCAACTCTGACAAACCTTCGTTGTGATGTGACGCCATCAGCGATCTCTTCCATGTAAACGTTCAAAAACAATTCATGAAACTTCACTGTTAATGAATATCGACAATGCATTAATCAAATCCTGTCACATATTCTTTCTTGGGAATCAACGTGGTCGGCTAATTCGATGCATTTCTCGTGCTACTATGGACGTGCTTTTCCCTATGGGAGCAACGTTTTTATGTTGTAAGCTGGAATGACAGTACGAAATATGCTTTTTTTCCGGAATTTTCTAAAAGATTTCCTACAATTTCCTTTAACAAAGGAATTTATTTCCAAAGGTTCTTGCATTTTTATTCCGCATAATGAAACTGTATAAAATAAATTTTTCTACCGTGTTAACTAGCATGTGATAAAATCTGCCTTACTTAATCCCTGCTTGATAACTCTGTCAACAGATGATAAATATTAACCTCTTAGGTACTAGATAAGCCTTTGGATATCTTGGTGGACCCCAAGCCATAGGATAATGAAACGTAAATGGCCGACCATAAAAGTTGAGAATAACCAAAGAATTTTGGCGAGGCGCTGACATCAACTTTAGCTACCGATTTATCATTATCTTGGAAGAAAATGAAGATATACCCCCGAAAAATAGCACACTAATTTGATTTAACATATTTGTCATTTTTAAATTCTGGATTATAGAAACAATGCAGAGTAGTTAGCCTTTTCCTTTACCTAGCTTTAGTCTTTCCTTTAACTACCGATAAATAGTTCTGTGAGAAATAGCCTCAGTGAGAACGGCTGGTCTTGTTTTTAAGATTCATCACAAACCCAAAATGGGAATGTTGCAGTAGTAAAGCAACTTACCCAAAACCTGTGGCAGATTCCACTGTCATTAACCACCGAGTAACAGTCTAACAACAGCACGAGTAGAGCGCATGAAAGTTCAAATGACAAGTAATGTATACACTACAAGCAATTCGCAATTTGTTCTCTTATGTGACGCATACAGAGGAGCTAAATAACCACTAACCTTTTTACAAACGCCACCAATTTGGTGATGCCTACCGACGATATACTAGTATCCAATTAACCACAAATATGTTAGACTCAATAACTGAGTACTTTCATGATTTAGATGACATAGGATGAAACCTTTGAAGTGACAGGTTTTACCAGGTCCATTGTTCTCACCGGCTGTCTGTATGGAAAATGAAATCAATATAACCATGTGATTGGCATTTTTCTGGTCGGCCGTCGAATACCATTTGATGGGACTCAAAATAATTTTGGTAGAAGCAAGGGAGTTTTAAGTGCCGCAATATCATATTAAACAAAAGGATCATAAAGCTTGAAAATACAGAAAACTAAATTCAGTTGGACCGTTTGTTTATTTACCCGCAATATGAGCCATAAAGGTTTCCCAGTCGCTGGATTCTGGGACAAGTTGTTGCCAGAGTTTCTGCTAGATGCATGTTATCAAGTTGCAGTTACCTAGAATATTTAGCCTAAACTATTTCCTACACAGAGAAATATCGACTTCTACAAGTTATAAATTACACAATCCTAAAAACAAAAGTTCAAAATGAAAAGCAAAATTATTACTGTACTTTTAAGCCGCATGTCCCTGTATAATTTGGATACCTGAAATTTCCGGTGAAAAAATGGTATTTACAAGCCATAATCTACCTTTGCCATTGCAATCGGAGTAATCAATGCTATCTAAACTAAGTGAAAACGATCCGTACACTTACACACTTAATTGCGTTTGGATCAGATTCTGACAACCATTTTGCCAAAAAACATTTAAGTTATGGCTTTCAGCGGTGTTGCACTTCTTGAGGCGCACTAAGTTTTTCAAACTTTTTTGGACCAATATGCCCAAAAGTGCCTAAAAGCCCATATTATCTTGCTGGCTTTTTCAGCTCCACCGAGAATTGTTTGAAGATGGCAGGCTAGGTAGTTTGGTCGGAAACATACTAAACACAGCTCAAAATAAAATGCAGGACGGGGTGGAACCCGAACACAAGTTGGACCAAGACATGTTGGAATTGTTTTCGCTGTTCCACGCAATCCAAAAGTTTGAACTATTTGAGAGTTCACGGATAGATAAGTAAGTTTACTAACTATTACTTCGTAAAATTATTCAAATGGTTTTTCGGGAAATCTTCGATTATCCAATCAATGACAAGTGTTCATAGTGAATCGTGGATGTCTGATGGCCTGGGTGGATTTGGCTGCCAATGACGGTTGAGCCACCAACATCAATGCGAATCCGATAAACCATAATTTATTTGTGTACACCAGCAAAGGATGTGTGTGAGCCTGTTACGTAATAAATTATTGCTGGCCGCAATATATGTGAGTGTCATTTTATAGAAAATCACCTCAACCAATTTGATCTGCTTGTCAAAGTTATATATAGATCACTTTCATAACTTTGGCTTACGGAGAAGCAGGAGCGTCGGTAATGGCTTGTTTACTATTTCTACCTGACAAAGCTGATTAGATTAAAGTGGATGTGCGTTATTTCAAATCAGCGTGTCCTGGCTTCCTGCTCGACCGAAATTTTTATATCAGACCGCCAGACTTCACGCCAACGATGCTCCACAGATGCTTCGAACGAAATTGTTTCTCCCAATTTTCAGTAATTCAAGTGCCTAAACAAGCGGAACAAGCGTGCTTATCCCCACAGATACTGAATATTAAGCCATTTAAAATACCCAAGAATGCATCGACACTTGTGCTTCTATTTTTATACGATATATCTCAGACGTTTGCTTTGTGAAAATGTAATTTGCTCTTTCGTTTTTGCAATAATAAAATCAGTGAAGAACCGGAACCCGAAAGCTTTGACTGGTACTCCTGGTTTCAGCCGGTTTTTTCCATATGGGTTCAACGCTGTGGCCTGCAACTTCAGGAAGTGGTTGAGAAAGACCTTCGACAAGATCAGGTATACAAATATACAGAAAATTCGGACACATTTGTCATGTGTATCATGTTGAATTTCCACTTATTTTGTTTGAAATTTTTCCAATGCTAGCAGGCAAGTTGTTTGTGAAAATTAGTGCTGATTAGAAATCTCACCAAAGCGTACGACATTTGCTGTGCTCCTTAAAAAATTGAAGTTGGAGGTGAATGGCGTACCCTGTAGTTGGCACATTAACTACTGTCAGTTGAAAAATACAAACCGCAGTTGCCTTTTGATTTAGGTGAAAGAGCATCACAATTACAAACCGAATGGAATGATTTAGTAAATAGCTATTTTAGGTAATAACACAAGCAGATATGTTCTAAAGGTTTCGTCGCCAAGCCTGATGAAAACAGCGGCTTTGATTTTGCTTTGCTTATTTGCTTGCAGAACTCTGAGTAGGCAGACCCGATTGACTTAGGCTTCACACACAATACTGTTCCAACTCGATTGATTTTAGACACTTTCTAAGTGACCAATTGGTTCTGTCTTGTTGGGAAAATTCAGGTGAATCACTGTCATCTTACGGTTATGAAACCCTTTTGATGTGATATAAAATGCCCTTACCATGGGCCGAAAATTTCGGTAGGATCGGGGTTTCCTTACAATCGGTTGCATATCGTCGAAAGGGGGGCTGTCCCAACTTAATGGACAATCACTCCCTAATTCAGCCCAGCACCTGATTTACACTGCCTAATATGCATAGAAGATGGATCCACTGGTTATTTGGTTAGGTAATTAAATGGGCAATAATCTGGCCGCCTGTATGCCGAACTAATCTTCTGTATCATATTCCTACTGAAATTAATGTTATAATAATAATATATATATATATGGTCAGCTATTGGAACTTAAGGCAGGTTCGCTAAACCCATTTTTTTAAAAGATGCTCTATCGAAATTATTCATAAGCCTTAAATAATTACTAACCCTGATACAAAAAATTTTCAAAATTTTTGGATGTTGCAATTTCTAAACCCACTGAACCTTCCACAGAAAATGTCTTCAGAAATGAAGTATTCCACAAAACGCGTATCTCATGCTTTGCGGAAGGAGTGCTTCTCACCTGTGGTAGTCTTCTAAGAAAGATATATTGCACCAAACTCATTACATGAAGTTGGGAAACATAAAGAGCCCTTGGCATGTGGGAGCCCTCATGCTATTTAATCCTCAGTCCAGACGCAAAATATAGAAATGTGGCATTCCAAATTAAGACACCAGTACTGACTACTAGTACTAGACTATTGAATAAGCTTAAAAAAACAATTTTTTAGGGGAACTCATTTTGTTGAAATTCGCAAACCTACCCGTTGCCCAGGGCCCAAAGAGCGGTAAACGCATTCACGGTTGCTTGGCCTACCTTTTTGTATGAAGTTGCATTTTACTCTTATATTAGTGTTTGAGGGCATAGGTAAATGCGAGTTTGTAAACATTTTAAACGCAAGAATGTTGTTCTTTTTAAAGTAATTTTACTTCCGTCAAAAAAATGCGCCATATTATGGCTTAATTCATCCTGAATGAGACAATTCAAAATGCAACCTAGCAAATTTTCCAATTACCCGCTAGTTCTAGCTTAGATGTTTTGAGACAAAAAACCGTATAGATGCAATACGTATTGATCATTTTTTAAAGTGTTGGATCAGTGTTTCGTGACTTCTCCTTTGATTTGCATGGCTGTCCCCACAAAGTAACTCGTCTTAGGTAAATACTAGTCTACTTTGTATCAAACAGCACTCGAGTTAAAATTTAGGAAGCAAAACCTTTTCACTGCTTACAGCTGGGGGTATACAAATCGTGACTTCAGATTAAACTTCAAAGTGCGTTTTTCATTATTGCTAAAACGAAAATAAAAGCTTTTTTGTGGTAATGAAAAAATAGTTCCCGGAAAAGTTGTTTAAACTATTTAAGTGATGTTTTATGCTTCGTAGCTTTGTTATTATTTAAGCACCCCGATTGCGCAGCGGTTTTTCGATTATTTTAAACTAAGAATGTAAACAAATAAAATTTCTTCGGGTTCGATGAAAGTCACGTACTTGAAATATCCAGCTAAATTAAAGGGAAGAAACAAAGAGCAGAAGGACAGCCTTTATACACACTTGCTGCTTCCTTCAAAACCGGCGAACTTCGAGACTCACGAAAATTTGATCCCAAAGTGATTAAAGAAGAGCAGCAGTAAAACTCGATTCTCCCTGGAATATGAGCCCATTCATTTAATTCCCTCAAATTCCATACCGTCTAAGATTTTCAACATTACACACCACTTTGCTATGCATTTTTGAGAAACATATCAACTTGAGTATGACATAATGACTGTTGACATGTTTACAGCACGCTATTTACTATTGCAAAGAACAGAACTAAACCGTCATCCGTTTCTTACATAAACAGACTTGACGGACTATTCGGTGTAGAATAAAATGGCATCCTTAATCTAAGCTGACTGTGCAGAGTTCCCAGTTCCTCTTCGAAAGTCAAAAGCCTCAGTATCAGCTCGTTTCTGCCCACTAACTAATAAGCCAGCACAGTGCAGTAGTTACTGATAGCGCTCACCATGACATGACTCACTTCTGACCACTGTTCGGATAGCTGCCGTTTGTAATACTGAGGTTTTCACTCGACTACGTAGGAAGTAAGAGTAAAAATTATCCCTTTTAAAAACTCATTTTGTCTGGATTTCTATCCTTACTACCATTGTTGCAGACGCTTTCTGTGTCATCAAAATCAACATAGAAAAAATCACCGTGAATATACTGTCCACAGACCCGAAGGGTGGTGATCAGGTTCTGGTCAAAATGCCGGTTAGGGTTGGCTGTTGTCGGGCTTCCGACTACCAAGACATGTGAACTAAGCGAGGTTGAATAAACCCGCATTTGTATTCCTTGTCAAGCATTGCCAGAGTTCGCGAAAATCTCCATTCGTGCGAACGCCCACGGCATTTTTAAAAACCGGAAATTACGAAAATGATACAGTTAGGTTACATGTTAACATATCTGTCTGGTATGTCCTCAAGGGTTAACAGTGTTGTAGCTAATAGTCAGAAATTAAAATTTGGTGAAACTGACTAAAACCTATTAGGGTTTGGCCAAGAATTTTTGCAGACCTCTTTAGTGATATGAGCGACCCTGAACCAGGAGGATAAGCTTTGTTCAATTCAAACACATCACCATTCATCATTTCCGTTACGAACGCGTTAGTATTAGAGGAAAGTTCAAAGGTGTTGGGGAATCTATCCGATGAGGGGTTACTTAGTTGCCTTTGTCAAGAACTGGCTGATCAGCATGGGTTTTACGAAAGGTCTGCTGGAAACTCCCATATGAATCATGTGAAACTTCGTTAGCGGCAAACTGTGAACAGAACTCCTGTTTAGCCGGCAATCGTCCCATACTGACACCCTAACCAGCTGCACTCAAGCCTCCCCATAATTCATTGCTTCCTATTTCTCTTTTTAGTACACTTTAGAGGCTCCACCAAATTAGTCAAGCTTTTGTATCCCCACAATGGTTCCCTCTATTTCTTTATTGACATGTCCGCGCTCAATCCTGGCACTCATTTAGCATCAGTTGTCTTCTTGCGTGCCTCTGATCGACTATAATGTTCTGCTTTGTTTTGTAAACCTTTTTTCTCGTATAAAATTAATTTTCAAAAAATTGCCTAGCGGTTGTATTTCGTGCTCTCTGGTTCATATTTTTCAATTGCGCACTGCCTAGATTGGATGATGGTGTGAATACCTCTTTCCTGAAAAAGAGTAATCAGGGGTGATTCATCAGGATCAGTCGTTATTCGCAAATAATTAGTATGGTATTGGTTCAAAGACCAGCAGTTGTTTCCTGAGCCAAGCTTGTCTTATAGTGAATGCATTACAAAAAGGAATTATATGAGTAATAATGAGTGATATATGGAGTGATAGTGAGTGACATGGGTTAGGAAACACAAGAGAATTCTCGCGAAATACATGCATTTGCAAATCA